GCTTTCTGTCTCTCTGTCTCTCTCTGTCTGTCTGGCAAGTGCACGTGCCCTATAGCGAAAACCTCTCAAAAAAAAAAATAATAAGAGAGAGAGAGAGAAAAATGTGCCAGGACTTTTCTGACAACCCAATAGAATCAATCGGCAGTCCGTGTTTCCCCCACCCCCCAAACACCTTGGGCACAGAGAGACTCACAGCTGGACGCTGGGTCAGGCAGGGTGGGGAGAGGTGGTGTCACAGGGGGTCGATGAGGGTGTCCAGAAAGTGCAGATTGAGAGAGGGACGCCAACAGCGGGAGAGCGTGCTTCGTCTTTGTGTGCACCGGAATGGAGGTGCTTCCAAAGCCGGGATTTAAGTCAAAGCTATGTTGACAACTGTGGGCAAAACCCATGGGGCCAAGAGGCAGTGGTCAAATATTTAATTCTGCGTCAGCGGCCAAAGGACAAATCACACAAGTCCGGGAGTGAGGAGGCCTTGCTTGACCAGAGGGATGAAAAATCTGGGATGACCGAGTCTCAGGCTGCTGGGGGGTCCACAGTGTGCTGTGACCACGGTGACACGAATGCAACTCTGGCACTGTGACACCTACCCCACAGCTGTGGCAGCGCTGCCACGCACCTGACCCTGAAAGCAGGGAGGGGTGGGGCTGGGCAGCGACTGGAGCCTCTCCTTGGGGATAGGCCTGACCACCAGAGGGCAGTGTGCTCAGGTCCAGCCAGAGGAGGGGACAGGTGGTGAGAGTCAGGGCACTTTGTCAAATAAAACCCAGTACCTGTGGGAACTGAGGCTGCCGCCCTGGTGCGAGGCCCGCTGCGGAACTAGCTCAGGCTGTCAGATGTGAGGAGGAGGGAGAGGGTGGTTTCTGTGACATCCAGAGTCAGGACCAGGCAGTAGCTGGGAATTCCAGGGGTGCAGGCTTCCCCCTGAGCTCTAACGGTCTGACCCAGGGTGCAGGAATGTGAATTCGGTCCTGCAGAGAAGCAGAGGAGAGGGCTAGCAAGGCCCAGTGGGCGGCCATGCCCACTCTGGGTCCAAGGCCCGGCTATTTCTCATCCCCTCACCACCTGTCTCCCGGCTCCACAGATGAAGGCAGTGACCCTCGGCGCGACGTGCCACCGGGTGCGGACCCCAGGGAGTACTGCATGTCGGACCGCGACATCGTGGAGGTGGTGCGCACTGAGTACGTGTACACGCGGCCCCCGCCCTGGTCCGACACGCTGCCCACGATCCACGTGGTGACACCCACCTACAGCCGCCCGGTGCAGAAGGCCGAGCTGACACGCATGGCCAACACGCTGCTGCACGTGCCCAACCTGCACTGGCTGGTGGTGGAGGACGCGCCGCGCCGGACTCCACTGACCGCGCGCCTGCTGCGCGACACCGGCCTCAACTACACGCACCTGCACGTGGAGACGCCGCGCAACTACAAGCTGCGGGGCGATGCCCGCGACCCGCGCATCCCGCGGGGCACCATGCAGCGCAACCTGGCCCTGCGGTGGCTGCGCGAGACCTTTCCCCGCAACTCCAGCCAGCCCGGCGTGGTGTACTTCGCGGACGACGACAACACCTACAGCCTGGAGCTCTTTGAGGAGGTGCGGAAGGCCGGCGGAGCGGGCGAGTGGAGGCGCGGGGTGGAGGACGCAGGTGGTTGCGGGGCGACCGGCCGGAGGAGTGGCGGAACAGCGGTGCAGAAGGGGGCTATGCAGAGGGTCAGGGAGAGGGATGGAAACCCGCACTGCGGGTTAAAGGCCCCCTGCTGGCCAGAAGGAAGCCAAGCGCTCGCGCTCCCGTAGTCCTGGTCTGATGGAGGGCTCTGAGTCAGGGCCTTTGGTGTGGTGCCCCAAACCTGTTTGGTAGATTCGTTTGCTTCCTCCGGGTTATGGGCCGGCCATGTTGGGGGGGGGAGAGGATTTCCCTGGGCTCTAAAGTGGAAAG